AACGAAATAAATGGGAATCTCATAATAGATAAGGCAAGATCCACAAATTAAGTAAGGTCATTGCGCACTGAATCAACTGAACTGAACAAAATTTCCAATTACCTGCGTACGCTGATTTACCAACCTACATACATACATACCTAATCTTGAGACAGACAAATTCACGAAAGATCGATAAAAACCGCGACCCAAGACGTGATGAATCAGTTTCAAAGATTACCAGGGAGGTACTACTTACTTGCTACATTACAGGTAATAAACGGCTACAATGTCAGCTATAGAGATCGATACCCTACTCGTTACATTCTTGATGCTAGAAGAACATACCAAAGTAACTTAGGAACCTACCTAAATCATCTTCAATATCAATAAGTATTCTAAAACGCATAAAAAGTATGCATTACATTACAAAACCTTCTTTTTTGAATCAGAATCACAAAACGACTCAAACATTTTTAATGTGCAACATTTTTTTGTCTCTATTTGCAAGCTGCAACGTTGAAGAGGTTGCCAAACGATGATGGCACGTGACGCAATAACCGGGCGGCGCGTTTGATGTCCGCTTTGTATCCAGTAAATCCAGTAATGGATCGGCGAGCAGGCAGAGTTGTCGCTTGTGATGTTACCGCTAAAGAGCGCGCCGACAAAGGGCTCGCGGTAGCACAAAGCTATTGATATCATTTAAATCCCTTTGATAATCACCGACGTTGTTACATCCCTTTGGGACAGTATTATGTGACTAGGGTTAGGGACTGCTACTAGTGCATTTGTTACTTCTAAATGCATTTTTTGCTCTTTTGCACAATTTACTACAACCAGTGTTTGAATGAAACTAGATTCTTATAGTAATAATAAGCAAGTAGATTTTAGTTTCACTGATACAATAGGAAGCATTTTTGATGGATCGATCAGTCATTCAGAATCAAAATAAGTCCTCCAATATGGATTACATAAAAACTGGCTAAAAAACTAACTCCACATGTAAGTACGCCTGTCCTGTACATATGAAATTGTTCTAATAATCACACTTTGTAGCTATTAATTCGGGATCACTTTTTAAGCGGCCGACGAAGTATGAGAGAACAGGTTTCGTTGTAGGTGATTGTAAAGAAAAAGAAGCATTCACGCCGTAAAGTATAAGGGGATAAAAGGAGATACGTAATCGTATGTTATTATTTCTTTCTTTGAAGTACCGAGCCGACGCGAGCAGTCCATGCCGTGTCTACTACAAATTGCATCTGCGTCCGCGTACCACGTTTTGCTGCCCTCGTACGTATCCTACCGTTTGTTACAAGACTTGATGCAAATATTTATGAGAACAATGAGGAGATTGGTACTATAGGTGTGAGACCACTTAACATAATATTTTTAATGAAAACCGTGCATCTGACTGTCTATCTGCTATCATCTCCATTCATACAAATTGGAACTTCAACAAATCTGGGTCAATAATTTGTACAATGGCTTTCTCTTCTGTTTAAAACAATGATCTTATAAACCAATGAAATGTTTAGTAGGCACCCGTATACAGCCTAGCGAAACCTACTTGGGTGATCAAGTAAACAAGTGCCTTTACAAGAAAGCTGAAGATTGGAGAAGTGTGATGAAAATACATGAGTGGGCATTGCCCACACGATGCGATAGAAGTCGAGCGACCACATCTGGCGACGTGCCAGCCGACTGAATAGCAGAAATAACGCCACTATCAACATTCCAGGTCACTTCGTAAGATTATCTTTTTATTATATACGTATACAAAGATTTGATATTCTTACAGATACCAAACAAACAATCTGTCTAGGCACGTACGGGATTCCTAGGAATTTAACTGTGGCGCCAGCGTTAGAAGCAAACAGCTTCCAAAAATTTCTAGGCCCCCATCGTCTCCCTCTAAATTCTAAGGAATGGATAGACTTTGTGGTCACTATGGACATAAGCATTGAAACTTTACGACCATCGTTGGAACCAATATTTTGAATAACTGTTTATATACAATACAATTAAAATATAAAAGCCGCAATTTATCGACGATATTGAAAATCGTCCGGTATAGCCATCAACACTATTTCGTGGAACACGCCACCCACGTAGAACCTGCGCGCGAGACCCTCCCGAGCGCTGTGTATGGTCATCTTATTGTAACGTCATCCGATAGATACCTATATTATGGTAAAAAGCAAAAGAACGTGACTTACTACTACCAGGCGATGATTATGTACTGTTACACAATTTCCAGCTCCAGATAGTTAGACTGTAAACGTGTAGATAAGTCCTAACATTTTGTTAATAATCCATAATTACATCTACTTTGTAATTCACAGTATTTTCATCAAATACTTTCTAATGAACCTGAGAATAATTACAATTTTACGTCCTCGTGAAGTTTTCTTTATTACGCACATAAAACTTACATAAAACAGTGTTTGTTGTAAGTCAGTTTTGGAATACGACCTCATCTTGGCCGACGATAACTTCTCGACAATAAACCTAACACGAAGAGGCAGTAAAATTCTAATTTGAAACGTCCTGACTGTGCCACATCCCTGGCACCCCACGAGCTCACCCTCGATCGGGGGTGTAATAGTGAACAGCACTGCACGACACATAAGTTTCTTTTTACACCCTAGAAGAATAAACCGCAGTAATTAAGCTTTATTTACCCTACGTAATATCCACATAATATTTTAGCAACACAAAGTACAACATCATTTTTATGTGAAATTGGCATTAGATATGAAGTTGTTTACTTGTTTACCATCCTAACTCTAAAGAATGGCTACATTGGTGTCTAGTCTATCTAGGCATCATTCCATTATAGATTTCTATACGATTGTAATGTATTTCTGAATGGAACTTATCAACTTACGAACTATGATATGTAAGTGAGTACCTATATGGAGAGTGAGTAGACCATTTTAGCGTCTTGTTTTCGCCTATATTGACTTCAAAGGCATGAAGCCGGTCCGAGTAGGTATGGCTTGACTTGCCACAAACCGAGTACCTACTAGCTATCTACCTACCTTAATCTTTTTTGTAATCGCTTACTTCAGGGTCATCGACCGCATGGAGGCTGCCATTGCCAACGTAGCGGATGCGCGTTCACCTTTCTCTCTATTACTGCCCTATAGGTATTTATGCTTACTTTCGTTGTTAAGTAAAAGTTAACTAAGATACTTAAGTAACAATAATTTCAACAAACGTAAACAGATTGCTTATCGAGATAAGTCAATAATCTAGATATGCAATAAACTAACTTAAAATACCTAGGTATCGAAAGTATCATGTCGTAGAATGTATCGTGCATACTGTAAGATACATAAGCAGACATCTTTATCATATACTTATTTATCGAGTTTTAAAGGACATAGGTGAAGTGTACTAAAACAAACAAGACTTCAATTCACATTCCACCTCCAATTCTTGATGTCCTATTATGATTGGGATTGTTGTTGCAAACTTGGAATGACGATAGCAAAGTAAGAAGCCTTTTCTATTAATAAGGTATGCTATTGAGAGCAAGAAGATCAACATCACACCTTCTATCCCCGAAGTGGTAGGCAGAGGTGCACATTAGGGCACTAAATTAATGCCATTGTACTTACAACGTAACCCTCTTTTCACTATTTTTATGTTATGAGTCCCATGTAATAGGGAGTGAGCCTATTGCCATATACCGGGCACAATTCCAGGCTCCGTGCTACTACTGAGTTTTCTTACAAAACCTAGTAATTCTTTGCCCGATCGAATCGAACCCGAGAGGCCGAGACCCCTTGCCGGCAGTTGCACTTGCGACCACTCGGCCAAAGAGGCAGTCAAGAAAGATCAAAATTTATAAATTCTATCTGAGAGAGAATTTTGTCCTGTACAAAATAATTTATGTTGGTGTCAGTACTCATGTCTGACACATCTGTCCACTCACTGAAGAACTTTCAAAAGAAGAAGAGGTTTAATTTATTTCTTTAATATTCATTTATTCGACATAAAATCAAAGCCTGAACAAGTGAACTATCTTTTAACCGCTAATGCCGTATTAATATTCCTATGGGAACTTGGGAAGCACCTTCGCTTTCCGCATAAGTAGCCGACAAGGTGACACTGACATACTTAATTAGGTAGGTAGGTAATTTAGATGTAATACTGGTAGATTGAACAAATAGGTACCTAAATAGATACTTAGCGTCTGTTACTTGATGAGTTTATAAATATATTTAATCTAAAGGAAGTACTAGGTGCTTAATACTTTTTGGAACTATGTAATCCGAAGCGGGTAACAATTTTGCAGTAGAACTAAGTGACCTTGGAGAAATAGTGAGAGTACTAGAAGATAGGTACCTACTCGTGCTGAAGCATCTTTGGAAACATATTTACTTAGACCGTAAGAACGATGATTTAGGAGACCCTATAAGTAAGTACCTAGTTTCTTTTGGAATTTTAGATAATACACACGGCACAGGTAGGAATATCAAGGCGCCTAGTTTTAAAAGTAGACATGCGGTTAAAGATATTGTAGCAAGCTTTTATTATAACAAAGCCCAAGAGTTAACCCGTCAGGGACGCACATTGAGAGGCCGGTGATCAGGGACTATTGTTGTCACGTAAACGTTGCCTAATACTTTGTATTTTGTGCGCCGTCAGACACCAGGCGGTATTTGTTTCGCGATCGCGACACAACAGTCGCCGCGCCGTGCCGCCAGCCGCTAGTACCGCCAGTGCCGCCACACCGCGTCGCACTATCCCGCGCCCTCGCCGCCCCTCCCTACTCCCTTCATCCATCAGTCAGTCACTCGACGGCACGCACGAGGGACGGTCGCTCGATTTCTCTCGTCGCTCAACATTCACGCGGACAACTGGGTCAAAGGTTTCGTGCTAACGTCGAATCCTTATACGTCCTGTGTTGTGACCAAATACAGTGCAAGTGAATTAGAAATATAGTTTGTGATATAATTAATTACACCAGCGGTTCTTTTGAAGTGTACGGGATGCGTGCGTGAGCGCAGCGCATGACGTGCTACGAAACGTTGAGAGCTCCGGCACCCGCCGCGGACGCCCCCATGGCGCACCACTTCGTTAAGTGGTGGCGCAACAAGTTTAGAAATGGATACAAGAAGTTTAGCAGTAAGTTATACTCTTGAATACTAGTAACTTGATGCAAACCTCCATAGGTATAAACCGTATGTTGATACTTGATATTTGACACTGATGTAGGTACCTAGTTACGTATGGCAACCTACGTGATCAAATATTTTAAATCATTAAATTCGTGTTATGAATAGAGCAGTGCCTAGTTGTTGATATAGGTACTTAAAACAGGAATATTGGCTGTTATCGAAATAAAAACCAACTAAACAACACTAGGTACATAAATACATGTGATACGAATAGCAAACTTCACAATATTATTATAAAAACCGGTCAAGGGCAGTTCAAATAGAGCAAGAAGGGTTCTATAAATCATGCTGTTTACATTTAAAACAACGCCATCTAGCGACCCAGTATTTACAGATTGGTTAGGTGTAATGTTTTAATTGTTGTTTACCTATTGTTGTGGAAATAGCAGACTCGGGAATTTGGTAATTTGCTAAGCAATTCTGTACATTTGGTACAACTATACCTTCTAATCTGTATTGGAATTTGGAAGTAAGGACATTATAGGTACCTGTATTCCAGTAATTAATTAGTACACAGATTTTCATTATAGTACATACGTACATACCTAGTCTATTGGATTATTTTGCTGTATTAAAATTGATGGCGGTACTTGCATAGATACTTTTCTAATAAAAGATATAGCCTGTGGGTATTACCTATTTAAAATGAACAACAACCTACATTTCTTACCCATAAGAAAGTAAATACAGATTTAGCAGTAATAAACGCACACTTTGTTTTCGTGCCCAGGAATTTGGCGAGTTCAACAAACTGATTATTTATTTTTGTACAAAAACATTACTGGAACCTAACTACCAATACCAACCACTCTTAACATTAAAAAAATAGTTTCGATAGGAAAAACATAAACAAACAGCTCAGACTAGCTTAGATATAATAATAAACATACGTAGTGCGTATGTATGGACCTATCTAACTGGCTATAGCACTAACACATTTAGGCATTACATTCATTCTATGAACTTATCATGTCTATTCAATTATGTTAGTCAGTGTTGTGTGACTAACTAATGTAAAGGTTATACCTTTATCGTGCTTATTATAAGATTTTACGATCTCGCACGATGTTATCAAAAGCCGGCAAGATCAAACAGTCGTACCGGCACGACGACCCGCCGACCGGGCGATTCATTCGCGGCAACATGAATTGAATGTAAAAAAAGTAAAATCAAATAATAGGACGAGTTGCCTTCCGCTACAAGGCACAGCCCACGTACAGACGCGTCCACTTTACTTGTATCTTTTAAATGATTTTGTTTTCATGTTTTAGACGTTCCTTGGGCTAATTTTAGTCAACAACAATGTGTTGTTTTATGCTAATAAAACATGTTATAACAGCGCGAACATTAAAATCATGTAAATGTATTTTTAATAGAAAAAATCCTCTTATCAGACATCCATAAAATTAAAATTGCAAATCTTGATGCTCACCACATATGAAAGAGAATTAACACATTAGGCCGACTGTCGTAAATAAATAAAAGTTTATTTCGGCTTCTTTATATTATGTGAGCAACCGAGCATCCACTAACTTAACTAAAACTACTTCAAAGCAAACAAATATAAATAGCGCTTTGATCTTGTTCTGTATAGTTACAAAATAGTTTGTAAACCGTATACTTCATTAAGAAAACGTCTTTCGTTTTAATAATCTCCCGTACAGTTGAGGAGTGAACCATTTGCTTATGATCAACATCAAAGCCAAATAGTAAAAAATGTTTCACGATGTAATAATTAAATTGTTTGTGTAGGTTTTAGATGAAAATCCTTAGTGATGTGTGCTTGCTAGGGATATTTTAACTTCTTTTTAAATCTTGCCTTATTCTATCCTACTTTTGAGTTTGTGTTAAGATTTTAGCCATAAAAACACAATCAAAATAAACATTGAGGGGATCTTTGTGTAAAGTACGCAGAGTTTTTTAGCGTATTTGTTGGTAAGCAAACATGACTAGGTATTTTGCCATAGAAATAGAGAAGTTCCTTTCCAAATCTTACTCTATTATTGCATTTGGCTGTGTATGTAATAAAACTACATGGTGTAGTTCCTTATAAGCTGCGCGGAATAAATAGAACGGCTTTATTAAATCTAACTAAATCACAGTGCAGGAATGTGGTTACAAGTAGCCGCATAATTGCGTCTCCAGTAAATGTCGTTAAAGCGTAAAGTTCAGCCATTAAGAGGCATCTTACTCTACAGTCTGTTTATACCAGCTAGCTGGCAGACTCATTATAAACGATATGATTTGTAAAACAACTGTATTATTTTCAAGGGTCAAAAAACTTCTGGTTGCCATGTTAGCAATTACTGTTCTTCATTTCAACCCAATTTCTAAGAACGAAAACGACAAATCTTTTTTTATAGCCAAGTAGTTTATTTGATTGAATAATACAGTAAGAGCCCCTATAATATGAAGCACTTTTTATTACTCCAATTTTACTACTTGATATGTAAAAACAACTTGAACGAACAATGCAAAAATAAAACTTCTAAACAGAATTTAGTAGGAGGGTAAAAGAAATGCCGCCTCTTTTGAGAAAATAACATTAGCGGCAGATGTGCGATGCTACATGCTACGGTGGATCCCAAACGTTCCAAAGGCCGACCCACTCACGGGCCCTTCCAGGAAATGTCTCAACGCTCCCCGTAACCTTGTGTCGTTTACATCTCTCCGAGTCTCCGTTCCCCGGCGTCGTCGGTCCGCATCACACAAACTTTTTGAGTTTCGCCGACACAGGCTTTTGGGTACACAACTTTTTTTCTCTTTGCCCATTATGTTACTCGTATTGTGTTCCTTAGTAATGATTACAATGACTAAAATAGCACGAAATACGAATTGAAGATAAAACAACAATGTGAGTTTTGTAGCCTCGTACCTGTTGTTGAGTGGACCCCGACCACGGGCTATTGCGTATAGCCAATTTCAATTTTATAGAAGCCATAATTTTGAAGTTTTTCTTAACTTAGTTACTTATTAATTATTCATGATGGCTAGGTAGGTACTCCCCGTTTTACTGTTTAAAAGAATCTTATATCCGAATATACTGACGCCGGCCTCGTTCATCTTCAGTTTTGTACTTTTTATTAAGTCTCTCACAATATAATTTTTGCAACTCATCTCTCATTACGATTTTATTATAGTCATTTAGCGAATAATTCGCTTCGATTGTTTATTTTTTGGAAGATACAAACAGAATATAAGTAAAATTTATATCCACTTGTAGATACGAAATAAACAATGTATATATTACTGAGCTTTTGTATGTAAATACCTAAATCCTTACTAGCAACATTTCTTCCGAAGTACCGCTCTGCCCAAGATATCCTACCCTACCAAAACACATATATGTACGATAATCTTTTTGAGAAAATTTCTATCATTATACTGATCTCAGAACAATTTCCAAGAAAAATGTTATATAGGAATGTCTGAATTTTAACTTACCAACATCTTTTACTTACTTTCCAGTTGGTACAGAGAGCGAGAGGACGGACACCGAAGAGCTGGTGGGACGAGCAGCTTCACAATGTTCAGCACCACCTGACCTGCTGCCAAGCGAGGCCCGCGCCTTGCTGCAGCCGAACACGCCACCAGCGCCGCCCCCCCGCTCCCATGAACCGTCCTACAAACCACCTCCGTCACCCACACCAATGGCGGAAAAAAATGATGAAAAACACCCCAGATTACGATTTGAGGTAATTATAGTTACGAACTTTTTATTCAAATTACTCGGCACTGTAAAACCAAAATTGTAACGAATTCCTTGACTTTAAGCATTGAATTCATTTATTAGTGGCAAACGCAAATAGTGATTGTTAAAAAACTTACAGTGCGGTTGTACCCGTCCGCCCGCCACCCATGCGTGTATGGGAATTAGAAAGTGGCGATTAGTAACCAAGCAAGTCGTGGCTTAAGATTTAATCAAATTCATGTCTTTACAATCTACATAATTTATTACCATGAATTCTTAGAGAATTTAAAACAGCTATAACGACGGTCTCTTAGATGTCGCCTTTATAATTTTCGTTAAAAAAACTTTTGAAGTATCCACTCGTGGGCAAAGTGCTTTTTGTTTAACATATTTATTGTTTTTAAATAAGAAATGTTAAAGCAACACGAACGCCCAAAAAGTTGATAACGAGAACTGGTTCATCATTCATGTGTCCGACCCGTCCTTTGTCAAAGTAAGTCGGGGTCTTTTGTCGATTTGCCGGAATCACCTGCCAATTTCTGCTCACTGAACATAGCCATGAGTGATATTATGTTATATGGTTTTACCGCAAAGCCCGTGATTTATGAAAGATGTCACCCGTGAAAGCATTGAACATTAGTTGTATGAGTACGAGTCACCGTAAGTTAATTCGTAGAGGCAATAATGGGCGGGCCGACTTTACCTTGTTCTGCTGATTGTGAACTAAAGGCATTGCTAGTTTCCTTTTAAAGCGTAAGGAGATAAGGAGGACGCCCGCCTAGTCGGCCGCCACGCGCGTTATGTCCGGCGCCACTGGGTTATCTACTACAACATAACCTTTCGAGCGTAATCCAATAAGGAAACGGTAAAAGCAACACTGATTACTCCGAATACTAACGAGCTCTTCATGGATATCCCCCGGTCAAAACATTGAATGAAATCGTACGCGTTTAATAATAGTAACGTAAGTTTGTTTGATGAATTAAAAAGTTTAACGACTTCTGTTTATCGTATTCCAGGAGCTGACATGTGATGTAGAATTGCAGCATCCTGAACCCTCCAAACAGCAACCGCTGCAGTTCTCCTTTACCTTGTATGATTTAGACGGGCACGGACGTATGACCAAGGATGTAAGTAAATTGAAAATATTAAAATTATTGCTATAAAATTATAAAGATCCTTATTAGTGAGCACTTAGCTAACCCTAATGTATAATTTACAGGACATTGCTGGAATTGTGTCTACAATCTACGAATCCATCGGGAAATCAGTGACAGTGCCACATTATGGGTCAAAGACAATTCAAGTGCGGTTAACTGTTGTGCCGGAAGCTGGTAATTGTAGAAGTCATCGCGAGAGGCGAGAGGCGCGGCGACGTGAGAGGCGAGAGGAAAGACGTAGAGAATGTTCTACTAACGTTAACGCATCGCCTCCCGACTGCATAGACCATAGCGAGGACGAACATAGAGGGAGATTATCTCCTGACGACGATGCTTCCTCGAAGTCTTCATGTTCGGGAGACAGGAGACCTGCCCACAGTTCTCCAAGACAAACTACTTATGCACAATCCCGAGCACATCGTCAACCTCGCAGAGAACATCGGGAGCGGAAACATACTAAGAAACGTTCTGGAAGTTTACAAAGACGCGAATTGTTGGAAATAATTCAAGCTAACATGGAAAAAAACCATATGAGCTTTCAAGCCTCAAGGTGTGTATAGTTTTTACTTTGTTTAAGCTTAATTCGCCTTCGTTGTTCGTATATGGTTTTTACAAGATTTATCTATCGCGTACTGACTATTGTTTTATTTTAATTACAGAAAGCCCTGTGAACCTGTTACTATTGAAGAAGAAGTTACGAATAAATATCAGAAACTTCGAAACAGATCTTACACGGTCAGTGAGAAGCCAATAAATGCATTCCAAAAGAAGAAATCTGATAATTCTGGCAACGGATACTTAGATCTAGCAAGCGGCGGCGATTCACATCTATGTAGGTATGACCGTTACCTGCATGCGGTGATATGCTCGTCGGCACGACATGCGAACACGGGATACCATCAGAAGCAGAATCAGATGCCGCGCCCCGGCCGGGCCCCGCACGCGCACCACGCGCGCTCTCGCTCGCACGACCTGCCACACCAGGCGCCCGCCGCGCAACAACCTAGAGTATTACAAATTATATTCTTATAGAACATAAGAAAGGGCATCACCGGCCACGGTTTTGTCCTGCTCACTTGTTGAGTCTGTTTATTCTAAGAATCTAATTTTATTGTTGAGTTACCAAGCGCTGTTTGAAAGCCACTTTAAAAATAAGTAAAAAAACGTGAGATTCGTATCTCACATAAACATTTAAAATGTTTGCACCCTTCATTCGAAATATTCCTATTCTAGAAGGAAAAGAATCTTTTAAAAACTTTCAAATTCTCCCCACAATAGATCTGTTGATAGACTTATTACTTTTGTAATCAAATAACTGAATTAACTTAGTCCAGTATTTTCACGCTAGTATTAAGACATTGAAGTGTTTGACTGTTATGTACTGTTGTAGTATATACTTAGTTATGTATATGCGACTGCCTCCTTCAACTATTTCCTCAGTCTTCATGTGGCGCACTTAGAAGAGGTCATGGTTCCTCAGAGGACTATAGTAGAATTAGGTGAAAATAATTTAAACGCGGCCTTAGATATTTAATTCGTCGTAAAGTGCCCTTATTTGGTAACTTTGATGTGGAAAATAGAGACGTAGCATACATGATATAATGTGTACTGATAGGTGACAATGCTCAGTAGACTATGTACCTTTGATTGTAAGACTCATTTTAGAGTTTCATAGACTGATTTTAGTTTTAAGTGTTAGGTACTACAGCGAATGATAGTTTATAACATTGTTATATGAAAAGTTCAAGTACAATATACATACTATGTTAAGGTTGCTCATCCACTTACTTTTTTTAAACAATTACAATGTTTCTAATTTTCACTGTATTTAAAAGAGCCCTCCCAATTACATTACCAATATCAGTATTCGTTATTTTAAGTTAATGAAAGAATCTCTATGTTTTATCTACCTCTATTGTGCTTTCATAATGTATTTATAACTTATTGTGGGCGGCTGAATTATTTTAATGTTAGCAGGTAGGTCTTTGTGATAATTTGTTGAAATGTAATTGTACCTAGGTCTGTAATCTGACAACTGGAAAGGAAAACTTCAGTTGCCAATGTACAAAGTGCTCTATCTTGTCAAAATATTTATTGTCAAATATAATCATGAGATTAATTTACAAAGTTTTTGTTTTACTTAATACTTAATCCATATACTCATCTACCAATGAGTTTTCGTTGTGTAGTCAGCCATATAACGGCAAATAGCATGATGATGCCTGTCATTACTATAGTAGTTTCCTTTGGTAACTCACATTTATGCACTGCATAGTCATCGGGTGTTATCGTTACCTAAAACGTTGACAAAATTAGAGTTTATATTTAATACAACTCGCAAAAAGCTCGCTTATATTCTAAGGAAGTATTCGCTTAGGAAACATCGGGCGCGATTAGGTGTGTGCCAAACTAATTAAAGAAATACGTACCAGCATAAACTTCGGATTAGGTCTATTTCTCCATGAAAACGACGGCACAGAATATTCTTCGAACTCGAAATGTTCTGGATTCTTATAAACATGATGCTGTAGGCACCCATGATGAGTATGACCTCCAAACACGACCTTAGGCTTCACCCTAGAGACTAGAAAGTCTGTAGCTTCTTTAGACAAAGAGTCATATCTCGGTATAAATTCTTTATTTCGTTCAGGCAATGGCGGCGCGTCTGGATCAGTGCAAACCGCGTCTGACCTTCTGTACAGCGGAAAATGCTGAAATTAAAGTAAAAACATAAATTAATTCCAAGATCTTTGTTAAGAAAAAGTAATCTGAACGATTGTATGTGATCCACAAATTATTGTGATTACAAATGCAGGTCACAAAAACAATAGCGCACGGCTTCGTTTAAATATCTAGTACGGATAAATGAGATATAGATGTTTTATATCACGAGCGCAGGTGCGCCATACTTATGTTGGTAAATATACACGCACATTGTCTTTGTTTGAGTACGCTCGGGAACGCCCAGTTTTGGTCGGCATGCCAATGAATGAGCTTGCTGCGAGTTACGCACACAAGCGCGTGTGTCTATACGCACTACAACTACATCTATGGCTCACCCGCACTCGTGATAAAATGACTATACCTCTATATACAGAAGTTTATTTGCTGTTTCACTTATTAAAGTCGGTATAGGCCACTTTCAATAATTGGGTGCTCACCTGCATAAGTATCGGTTTACTAAACTCAATTTTCTTGATGCCATCATAACAGAATAATGGATCTTGTGCACATTTGAATATTCCTGCAATAATCATAGATCAATTATTTCGCCTTTTGATTTGTTACAATCTTTTTTTATTTTGACCTGTGTTTTCTACATATTGTTTTCGTAAATTCATAATAATATTTCATTACCAGCCACTTTAAGTAAGTGATTTCTAGCTTGAGTGCATAGCTCGCAGGAATCGCCGTGCATTGCCATAGAATTAATAAGAACAAAATGGTTATCTTTTACAGTTATTAACTGGACTGATGTTGTATTAAGATACTTCTTAAAACGTTGATCCGATTGTCTCGATATACTAGAACAAAAAAATAGAGCGTTAATTTTTATCGATAACTACAAATAAGCTTCATAAGTATTGAATATCGTAAAGAAAATTTGCACATACTTAAAAACATTTAGGTATAATATTGCATACATACTAATTGTGAAAGCCTATATCATGGTTTCCAGCAAGTACATGCATCTGTGTATCTGCAGGCACTGGAAACATTTCATGGAAGCGTGCTACATAGCCTGCAAACTGCCTATCAGTACTCCACTCGCCTTCATCGAAAAGATCCCCTAAAACCATAAAAATTTAATCAAGAATTATCAAAATAATTTTCATATTTTAAGCAATTAATGTACACAATCTCCATTCCCTATTAATTTATATTTTAAACCATAAATAAATTGCCTCACGGCTCTTGATTTCAGGCGTGGTAAAAAGTAAATAAAATCTATTTTTGACTCATAAAAATTGGTTCAGTAATTTCGGCATACGCGCGTAATAATTGAACATACAAAGTCGATTTCGCATTTACGTTGTCATAACAAAGTATTAGGAAGTTAGCTCGACCTCAGTGCCTAGCACGAATAACTATCGCATTCGTAACGTAATAGTAGTAGATAATTATTAATATTAATAGGGCAGGCAGATATTATTAGTTGTAAGTACATTTTTATCAGAGTAGAGATATCCTTTAGTTTGGTAACAATATTGATTAAAAATTTTCTGAATAAAATTATACTCCCACACTTTTCCGTATGCCTCATAAAATAAGGTATTGGTCAATGGTCAGTATTCGACCTAATTTTAGATAGGGCGGGCCTGCGGACAGCGAGCATGGGTGGCTCCCCGTCCGACCAGAAACAGACCCGAGCGTACGGCGCGTCGCGTTCCGCGCGCGCCTCAAAGAGCCATCAGACCACCACAGATGGGGCCCAACAGGGCCGATGCCGATTCGGAGTCGCGGAGAACCTATCGGGTAACCGGGGCTCCCCGGCTCGACGTGCAGGAGAAGGAACGGAGTGGTTTTTAGTCAGTAAGAGTCTGACACTCCCTCCCGCCTCACCCAGGCGGGAGCAGTCATTCGATGATTTACCCCTAACTAAGTACTTCATGGTCAAACTGACGATACGAGAAATACGAGAAATTTTCAAGTTTCAACCATAAGAGGATTCTCTCTAGGGGCTCATAGGGAGGTGCCGTAACAGGCGTTGCACTATGAGGGCACCGGAGTTGGTCTACTAAGAGGACCCGGTGCCCCCTTCAAGTGCGGATGGTGGCCACCGGGGAGGTTTTAGTGAGGTAAAAATCCCACACTCCCTAGTCTTTTTCCCCAAAAAGCTAGGCGCCTTTGGAAGGTTTCCCCCCGTCAACAAAAAAAGAAAAAGGGGCTTGTATAAAAATAAATATAAATTAATGCGAATTCTAATCATACATTTGTCTTACTCTTACCCAATACAAAAACCACGTCTGGTCTATGTAGTAGCATTATAGACTGAAATGCCTGGTGCATCTGCCACTCTCTTCTCCATTTATCCAACCAATGGCCCTGCCGTGGGCCTAGCAAATGTGGATCAGCAAAGATGAACGCTTTGAGCGACTGGGATTCATTATACGGCGTCTTTATAACTGGCCAAGAACACTGAAATAATTAAAATACAAGTAGTACCTACACGTGCATTTAATATGCAAATATTGTGTGTAAAAATTTAAAATTTTGTTTACCTGTATGACGACAACATAGTAAATAATAAATTCACAATATATCACAGCGAAAAGTACACCAAAAATAAATGTTAATATCTTTTTCGTAGTACGTCTCATGGTGTTGAGTACCGGCACAACTATAGGAATAATATCACATTATTATCGTGTTATGTTTTCTTATCAATGATAACAATAAGGTTTTCTACAGTAAATATCTTGATTTAGCTCATGAGAATGTCGAGATGTGGGATGTGGATTCAGCAGTCATTGTGCGTGTATTTTTAAATGGTTTTTTTTATATAATTCAATATTTAAAAATATATAAGTCAAGTATAGAAATAATTAAAGGAAATACATAGATTTGCTACGGCACGATGTGTCCAAGTGACAGAAATGCTCCTTTTTCCAAAACATTCTGTCGCCATATATGTTATACGTATACGCGAATTGTTATAATAAATCATTAAAAAATATATTTAGAAATAACTTTTGCGCGTCGTATTAAAAGTTTGATAAGGCGAGATGAGATCGTGTGATTTAATCTGCTATGTATGCTAAGAAGCAATAAAACCCTGTAAATAATATAAACCGACAAAAGTAACGAAATCCGGAATAACGGAACGGGCCACTGTAATATTCAAACAACTGTTCTCATAGACAACAAATAAAACTTAAATTTAAATTGTAGAAGCAACCAATCGACTCCTAGATAATCAGTTTCTATTCGCTGTTAACATCGGTTGATTTGATGAACGTCAAACTACGCGATCGGAATATGAGATCGAACTGAATTTTTATGTAGAGCAGTTCTCTACTATTACTATTTTATTTATTTATTTTCGTAGTACACAACCAGTCTAAATATTTATTTTGCATTATATTTATCCACCCAAATGGTGTCTGGTTGAAATCACTATACGTGATAAGGCCGAGGCTTGTGCCCATTATTACTTTTTATTTATGTTTGTTATTTCCTTTTTCTGTTTATTCTAGGCTACAATTAAGGTTATTCGAACTACGCGACTATTTTTTCAAAATGGACCTCGTTTCCTGGCCATGTAGGTGCATCTGAAAGACTGTAATATGAAAATACTGCTGATTGAGATGGTTGAACACAGATCGGTTTAATTAAAGCACTCAAGTGTTAGCCGTGTAATGGCAGCAGAGTACAATATGTTTCTTAACAACTCTATTCTTCCTTCTTCGTAAGAACAGACTAACCAACCTGCCTGCCTGGCGTGGGCATTATGGCAAACCTTTTTATGAGGATAATGGACAGCAATAGCTGATAACATTATTTCCTGTTCGGTTGTAAACGTATTGGAAATATAATAAATATAGATACTTTTGGCGCCCGGTTCTCGACCACCAAACTTTTCATAATATTTGATAGTAGTTCCCATTGCTCGCGTAAAGAAAATATTCGTTTCCAATAATAATAAAATATAGTTTGAAAACACTATCCACTATCGCACTTCATATCAGTTGTTGCCAACACATTCATAACACAATGAAGCAACTGAATTACTCTTTTAATAGTTCGTATTTTATGGAGTACAGAGGGCCAAGCACGAATATTTATCGCATTCGTATCGTAACAGTATCGAGCGAGTTAAGCGTTCTGATTGGTTGGTTCACTTGAGCCGGCCAATCAGAGCGCCGAACGCGCTCGACACTATTAAGTTACGAATGCGATTGTTATTCGTGCTCGGTACTCAGAGGGCCAAGCACGAATAACTATCGCATTCGTATCGTAACAGTATCGAGCACGTTAAGCGTTCTGATTGGTTGGTTCACTTAAGCCAGCCAATCAGAGCGCCGAACGCGCTCGATACTATTACGTTACGAATGCGATAGTTATTCGTGGTTGGCACTCTGTAAGGTTTAAGTGTTGCTAGAATGGAAAAATAAAACAAACTTTGAATTTAAAACAGTGAGCCTCATTTATTTGATAAACATGAACGTGAGTAAATTCTACTGCTAATTATTACAATAGTATTATTTTAGGCGGTAGAAAAGGTAAAATTCATTTCCAGTTTCATAACTTTTGGTATATACAGTAAAAAACCGTTACGTTTAAAAATAAGTATTAGTAAATCATTGAAAATAAAAAGTTATACATTAATATGTTAGTATAGCTCTTAACTACACCTGGGCGTAAAGAAACGGAGCCGTTTTTTGTTTTACCATTTCTTTCTTATAAAAGCCAATTTAGTTACCTTTAAAACGAGCGCATTTTGTTGTGTAAGGTATATTTTTTTTTGTTATAGAGGGTTCAATAAAATGAAAAAAAAAGAAACATGCTAGCGACTCCGTTTTATACTCCGATTTGTACTTTAAATTTTAATGACATTATGTACTAAGGCTATGTTTAAAATGTCCTACACGGATAATTAATTATAATTATACATTATAATGAAAAGAAATTACATATAATATTAAAAACCAATGATATTCGTAACAAAATGTCACATTACTTAACAGGTAATCAATAAATATATAAAAAAATATTTGGTATTATAATACTTCATTTGAAATTTTGAACTTTTGGTATTATTGTTATTACAATAGGAGGTTTTCCTTAATAGAAAAAAATGTGTTAAATACATTAAAATCGAGTTCATGTCGCACATGATACAATCACAACCAAGCAACATAAAGAACTGTAAGTAACGTAGGAATTTACTACAGTTAATTTATTTTTGAAAAGTGGATAAGAGCCGTAATGTTCACCTCTGCCTACTCCTTCGGGGATAAAAGGCGTGATGCTTTTTATGTTAATTTATTTTTGCATATAATGTAATACAACCGTAAAACTACCAAATGAAAAATAATACCGCCAAAGATCAAACTCAAATCAGTCATTCATCATTAACAAAGTAATTACTAAACGCTATTTTTTATTTCATTAACAGATTTCTATTTTTATTTCATCAAACATTGTTTATTCATTTCAGGCAAATCTACGATGTGTAAGTGTATTACCTAAATCGTATTTAAATGTCATCCATCACATCGACGTAAGACTAAAAAAACTTAATAGTAATCATTTTAAAATCTAAACGTAATCAATATTATTGTTACAAATACTAAAAATTGTTTATTTCTAATTTGTCCGCTTTTCCTAAAAGTAAAGAGAGCACAAAGTATCACATCCACGACACGAAACGACATTATAACTACAACACGAGAAAAATATCACTGAAATTCCATTAAGGCCTCAATTGTATATCTATTTAATTCGACTTACCATAAAACTTACTATTTAACAAAAATATTAGAAGATTAACGTTAATTTTCGCTTTCCCAAACATATCCATTACAGCACAACCCTCGTATTGTTTTTGAAGCAGATCTTGTATGTCTACTTCAATAGACTCCATCTCAACACCCATGAATTTACCTTTTATAGTAAACACTCCGTTATGATCAGTTGGAGTGATGTCAAATTGTACATTTTTGAATTGAGATGGAGACAGTCCATCGATTTCTAGAAGTACGCCTCTTTCTAATAGTTTTGCACCTGAATACTTAACTGTTAATTTCGATTTTAATTTTTGGACGTCTTTCCCTGATCTTCTCAAGCACGCATGAACACTCCTGTAAAAAAGTGTATAGAGTTACACTAGTGTTCCATATTCAAAATTGTTATTTTTAGTTCTTATTGCAATTACTTACTTCTTGCCAGTATGAAGATTGGCTAGACATGATTTTATGTACTGATCATAAGAATGGCATTTTTCTTCATAATATTTGGTTTTGTCTTGCAAACTTTGTTTTGTACGCGTCAAGGTTGCCAAAGCTCGTCTTTGAGCCTGTCTGTATTTGCCTTTGTTACATAGGTCGAGTGCAATAGAAGTAACTAGGGCTTGGTAGCCATCTTCTCGAGTGACGTAACCTTCGTCCTCTAGCATTTGCAAGTTTTTGCGGAGTTTAGCAATGTGTTCCCGTAAAGTCATTACTTCGTCTTGTCGAGCCTGGCCCGAGTAGATACGTCTTTGTATTCTTCCAGCGTATTGTTCCTGCTGTTCTCTTGTTGTACCAATACATAAAGCTTCTAAAAGATGCTCGCCTAAAAGGTTGTATTATTTATTAGACGTATTTCAATAGACACAGAATGGATGATAGTTATTTTTTGTGCTAAATTCATACATACAAGATCAAAAAGTAGGAAATGAAACTTACCATTTAAAAATGGAATAATAGACACGCATAACTCCTTCGTTTTGATGAAGAGTTTGTTTAGATCAGTCAAATTATCAGAAGGCGCCTGGAATTTATTGGTAAGAGCAAGGCATACCTCTAACCTCGCATTCTCTTCAGTAGTATCTCCCATTTGCTATAAAAATACGCAATTTAATACAGTTAATGAGAAGTGTCTTTTCGTTCGTTTATATTCTTTGCAGAGCGACGGGGAATTGACCAAAAAGTAAAATGGGTTGGTCGTGGTGTTTTTAATAAAATTGTGATTTAAGTCCAAAGTTAGGAAATTTCGTCGGATTTTCACTCCGTAGTGGGCTGGTCTAGTTAGATAGACTGGCCTCATTGGTCACCGTGATCGTAATTAATCGGGGAACGTTATAATAGAAAAAAAAACGAATAGTGTTCTTGTTTAGTTTACATACCGTATCAACATCTCTGGACGCAAGCTGAGCGACGGTGGGCACATCCCCCAAATCATCTAACAGCTCGTTAAGTCTATCTCGAGGGTCGGGAGCTATTATGTCCTGGTACTCGATCAGAAGCGCGTGTGTGTCCACGATTTCCTAGAAACAATGAAACTCTTGATCCTCGAGGCTTATTCATGCAAATCGTCGGTGAAGAATTGTTGTTGGAATTTAAAACATTTTTATTTATTTACAAATAGTAACATGGCGTATGGGACTAATAATATAGCAGCTGAATCGCATTTTACATATACCGATTCTGGGATTAATAGGCGTTAAATTAAGGAATCACTGATAATTTGTCTCGAAATCGCCGAATGATAAATAACAAACCACTTAGACTTTGTTTGTTTACTTGTCGATAATCTTGTGATGGCAAAGAAATAAAAATAATAGCTTTGTCATGAATTTTTATGGACACCATAATACAGTATTTCAAAGAGCACATGTCAGTCATGGTCGGTTTATGAATATAAACGATATTCGTTATCGTCAGAGGTAAATAAACGTGTCACACATATTAATTTTTGGACACAGGAAATAGCTGGTCGGATTTTTTTATACTGTGAGACTGTGACAAAACAAATATTTGGCCCTTATATATAGTAAATATAGTCATAGTCGTGTATTTGTCAGCCCTCTCACTCTTCCCACGGCTGTCCTATGAGCTGTCTGAGGGACTCTTTATTTAACAGAGACTTACTGATATAAAACCTGAACTTTTCAAAGAGCTATGTCTAACCAGCCTACCAAGTGTGGAGATTTAGACAAACCTCTATTATATAGAATAGAAAGTCCAAAATCTATGACAATAGACTGTTGATACAACTTCATAGTATGGTGTAGTACTCACCTGCACTGTGATATAAATGTGAGGATGATGTAATAGAGTGGCTTCGGTATACTCGTCAACTGCAAAGTATTCTTCAAGTGTAGGTCCGCGGCAACATCGTCGGAATAACTCCTTCATTTTCTCATGGCACTCAACGATAAATGGATTCAGACACCGTAAATGACTTGATTCCTCTCCAAACTTAAAACATAAACATTATCAACGTTATTAAAGAAAAAATACAATATTAATCAATAACGCTTTTCAGACTATATGGCTGTAAACTTACGCCTTTCTTAGCAGCAGAAAAGTGCAGGATTTTCGCCACAGACGCGAGATTTTTTCGTTGATCCGTCGTAAGACCAGTGCCATTAGGTAAATTGATGATATGAAATGCGTCAGGAGCTACAATGGCTGCATTTAGGAACTGGTAATATACGAGATTTCCTATGACCTGAAAAATATAAATGACAAATATGTAAACACATATGAAATACTTATATAAATTCGAGTTTTTTTTTAAGGGGGGAAAATCATCGAATGACTGCTCCCGCCTAGGTGAGGCGGAAGGGAGTGTCAGACTCTTACTGACTAAAAACCACCCCGTACCTTCTCCTGCACGTCGAGCCGGAGCCCCGGTTACCCGTTAGGTTCTCCGCGACTCCGAATCGGCATCGGCCCTATTGGGCCCCATCTGTGGTGGTCTGATGGCTCTTTGAGGCGCGCGCGAAACGCGACGCGCCGTACGCTCGGGTCTGTTTCTGGTCGGACGGGGAGCCACCCATGCTCGCCGTCCGCAGGCCTGCGCTTACGGTGGCCGGAGATCGTCCCGCGATCCCCGACGCCCGGTGTGTCCTTCGCGATGGCTGGGTTGCGAGGAGGCAGCGCTTCGCTGCCTCACGCGTCCCGCCTCCTCCTTAGCTAGCATGACTGCTTCGCAAAAGGAGGAGACGGCATCCCAGTCCCCCTCGCTCCGCATCATGGCCTGCACTAGGCCCGGACGCGAGAGGTCGCCATCGCCGATCACTTCCCTGAGGGCACGGCGGTGCACAGCCCACGCAGGGCATTCCGCTACGGTGTGTTCCACCGTGTCCTCAGGGCGGTCCTCGCAGTGATGACACCCGGGCGTTTCCTCCCGCCCCATCAGACCTGTGTCAGGCGGTAGGTGAGGACACCGTAGCGTCTCTCAAGCCACTCCTCAAAGAGGGGTCTTACCACTGCAATGGCAGCGAGCCCAATATAATTATGAGTAGAAGTACTCAAATAAAATGCAACATTTCCATATCATCTCAATTTGTCAAATAATAAAGATAGTTTCTGCTTACCTTTAGAATGTCTTTATCTGGCGTATGAGGGAATTTCGAAGACAAAGCTCTGTGTAACACTCTCGCCATATAAGTTATACAAAACGGTAAAAGTTCTGTGGAATTGATGATTTCATCTAAAAACATGGTGACTATTGTTTTGAGTTGAGTAAGAGCTTTCTCTAGTCGGGATTTTACTTCTGGGTATGTTAAGGCTTCTTCTTGGCTCACAGTGTAGGGCAATTTTCTGTAAGGCAAATAATTATGTGTTAATCTAATCTAAATCTTGCTGTTCTTAAAATTAGGTCGATTTTCGTCTATTATCATTATACTTACGAGATTTGCCCAGTCTTCATTTCAGTTTCATTCCTCCAAGCTTTGTAAATCTCCACAGGTCCAGTTTCGATGTTCAAGTTCTTATCTTGAAGCATTTTGTTCACTAATGGTCCAATTATAGTTTGCAGGCTGTTTAATCCAGACAGTTGTCTTGATAAACTAACAGCCATTTTGAGTACTAATGGCGTCGATGCGATTATATCAAAGGGTTTCACGACTTTACAGCTTATCTCTTCTTCTAGTGTAAATCTAAATAATTTCAGCAATAAGTATTCATCTCTAGCATAAGCACCAAAGTTGTATAAACTTAACACTACATTTTGTAAGAAGAAATTTGTCTTGTTTTGTGGTATACAGAATAGTAACTTTGATAAGTAAGTGGGATTCGTTTGTAACTCATAGAAAAGGTGTTGGTATCCATCCAAAAGTCTTTTACTTTCTTTGGTGAGCGATTTTAACCCTTTCACAGCTGTAGACACTGTCATCAGTGTTCCTTTACCATCAGGGTGCTTTTCTAATACAAGTTTCGTCATAGAGTTGTGTTTCACTAAATTATTTAGCTTTAGTCCATGGGCAGCTACTTCTTGCAAAGCAATGCGATTCTGAACGAGAAGACCAATTTTCAAGTCCATATCGTCTAATTGTTTCGACAGTTCCTGATTTTTCCTTATTGACTGTACCACTTCTGATTTTAGTGTTTGTAACTCTATTTCTCTGTCATAATCTTCAGTTGAAAAGTCTAACATTGGTATGAATTTTTTAACAACTTTTAGTGGAGGGTTGTTGGAGTAGAACAAGGCTGTAAAGGCTTCCCGTGCGCGACGTCCTCTCCAAAGGGCTTGAATTTTTATTATTTTCGGTTCCTGCAAAATTTTATGACTTTTAGTATTACAAGATATCAAATATAACATTATTTAAATGACAAATTGAATACAATTTGCCGAAGAAAACGCAAGAACGCACTTCGTACGGGCAATCCCGTTTTGTGTTTCGTTCCATGGGCACATCAGGAATTCCTTGGACAAAAATATCTTATATCCGTCTCCTGGTTTTAAGCTCCAGGTCCCCATCACATTTTGAGGCAAATCGACTTACCCGTTAGTTATAAATACTTAGTGTAAGTAACAAGACTTTATTTTATATAGTTAGATGGATTTAAAGCTTACCTGTACTTTATACCACGCCAACGGATTTTGTTTCCTTTCCCTCTTCAATTTGGCTTCTATAGCCTTCATTTTTATTAAAGTTCCATATTTTCTTTCTACTACAACTCTCCTCCACCAAGCTTGAATTTTCACGATGTATTCCTCATTTTGTTCGAAAAATTGTAGCCTTTCTGAAAGAGCTTTCCTTAGCAAGTATCCTCTGCAATAGGCTTGAAGTTTTATAACTGCGTTTTCTATAACCATCTGCATGAATTTATTGACATGATGTTTGTTGGTTTTGTCGATTATATTGTTCACATCTTTCCTTGTTAAATAACGAGCATAAGGAACAAAGTCTTTGGGTGTCGACCAGCAGTATGTGTATGATTCCACATCAATGTACACTGTATTACCAGCATTTGTATGACAAACAATCCATGGACAAATGTTGTGACCTTTTTTCTTTAGGGCCTTATAAAACATTTGAAAGTAGACATCTTTGCAAGAGCTTTCAAGCATTCCGGAGGTAGAAAGAACAGGGTGGCTTAGAGCATTCCAAAACTCTTCCACATCATTTTTGATAACTGCTAGATTTAACTGAACTAGTGACTCAGTAAGTTCTTTAACATTTTGAGATTCTGAGTTCACTTCATGAACAACTTGTACAATATCTTCAAGCCAAAGATTTTGGGATTCTTTTTGAACAAGGACCTTTTTCAGCATGCGTAAATACAAGTGACTCTCTTCTTTCCGCAATGGCGCTCCTAATTTCAAACAAGAATGTTTTAGTAACACCATCAGAGTGTCAGAGTCCTCATCTAGTACAGCTTTATTGACGTGTTCTATTACTGATACCACTGAAAGAAAATGTTTTATATTATAATTGAGTATTGAGCAGTTAGGTATTACTTTTTTAATATGAGTACTTAGTTATTAGAATCTCTGCTCAGTGAATGATAAAACAACTGGCAGAATGAGATAAAATATTCTCCTCTGCTTCATTCATTTGGAAATAATAGATGAAGATATTTTTGATTAGTTACTAAATTATAATTTAAAAATACTTACATTCCTCATTGTCGTCATCTTTCATGTTCACCATATCTATGGAGTCTCTAATGTCGTCCAGGGTGAGCAATGGACATGCACACTGTTCTCTGATCTTCACTTGCAAGGCTGTAGCTAAAGCCGATAAGTATCGTCGGCGGCAATGTGTTCGCAGCCCTTCCAGGTGCAGCTGTTTCGAGTTGAGAGCATTCCACACACCATTATCATCACCTCTATCCACAGCTTCAGATATAGACGCTATAGCTAATAAATACGATACAGAAGCAGCTATCTCACTCTCATTCAAATTCTTCTCTAATTCAAATTTCTCCAATTTCATTTCTTCATACAAAAGAGGCACAGCAAATTTATTCACTTTAAAATTCAACTCTAAATGTGGATGATTTAAGACAGCATATAAATCATCAGGTGTCCCTTCATCTAAAACTCTGTTCACTTCATTGATAGCTGTTTTATGGTCTGTGTGCTCAATTGCCTTCTGATTCCCTTCAATAATAATATTTTGAAATATTTTATGCCAATTTGTAATACTTTCTACATCGACATCTTTATTGCATTCATTGATTTCCTTAACAACATCACAGTAGAAATCCAAATTACGGGGATTGTAATTCTTAGTCTTGACCCAATTTTCATTAAATATTTTATCTAAAGTGTTAACATCGCCATTCTGAGAGGCAGAACATAATTTCTTCCATAAGTATTTGTAGTTGACCGCAGTTATATGCCCTTGTATTTCGACTACAGTAAGTAATTCATCATACTCATCGGGTACATAGCTATCATTAAGTGAATGATTAAGGGCTGCTTGAATCTTTTCATATTTGGCTGATTTTAATGCTTTTTTGTACTCATCTATTAGTCTATTTTGAACATGTTTCAACTTTAACTTTGGATTTAGAATAGCTGAAGTAATTGATTTGTCTGTGTCCAGAAGGTTGTTCAGCTCTACAACAGCATCATGCATTGCGGCACCATCATTACCACTGTTATTCTTTGATAAAATCCCTCCAATCTTTTGAAACGAAGGAAGTGGATGTTCACATTTTTGGAGATCTTTAGAGACAGAATCCAACTCTTCATCTGGAATTAAAAATAATAATAATGAGTTTTATTAGTAAAATAATTTAAATACAATCACTAATGTTTTACCTACCTGTGAATATAGCTTTTCCAAACACATCGTGGATGAGTGGTGCCTTTCCAAGTTTAAATAAATGTGAGCTTAGAGCATGTATGCAGTATATAACTCTTGGCATGTTCTTTTTGTCATAGATATCTGTTGTTTCTGGCTGGAAAGTCTGTAACACAGGAATACAAATTAATACTAATGCATGAGCAGTACCGTTTTAACCATAAGGGCATACGGGCATGTGCCCAAGAAGACATCCTCAGGGGCCACGAAAGACCGACAATTTCTACGACGGACATACACACACTACACATTGCGCGGAAACGAGCTGCTGCGCAACTTCTAGTGGTTTCGATTATATTGTTTCAGGTCGGGGTAAAAAATTCCAACAGGGCCCCGAATTATTTTGCCCTAGGGGCCCAGCATAGTTAATACAGCTCTGTGCACGAGTGTACTGTACAATAACCAAGCAAAATCATTAAAAGTTTATGGCTCAATAAATAACTGAATTTTATTACTGGGAATAAAAAAAGAGTCTTAATGGAGTTTTATAATTACCATAGGCAGCTCTGTCTGTTTTAAGACCTGAAGGAACTTATTAATATTATCTGTATGCTTGAACTGAAGCCCCATTATCTGTAACAAAGTTAGTGACTGATGAAAGACTGGTAATAATATTTTCTTTATTTATAGTACTTATTTACATGATATATAATATAAGGTAATAAATAATAATGTAAAACTTTAATTTTTTTATGTGGGAGAGTCATGGTTCGGCACAAATCAGCCGGCTCGACCGGAGCGTAACCACAGCCACACAGAAAACCGATGTGAACAAGCCTTGAGTTGGGTATCGTCATGTGACTAAAAATTACTTTACAGAGAGCACAAAAATGTGTATTATTTATTCAATAGGAATTAGACAGGTGTCCATCTAACATTTTCATGCAATAACTCTATTACTAAATGCAAATATTGCTCTAAAAGCTTATTCTTCTATACAGGTATAATTATGTAATTGTATGTACACCTAAACACTAAACATTATGACAATGTTTGAAATATTTAGGCTTATTGAGAAGTACTTATGTTCATTAGAATAAGGAAGATAATTTTAAAGTGAATTCAAGTTGTTTCAAAAGATTGAAAGAGATCCTGATAGCCCACACAATTAGGTATACAATATAAATAATAGGAATCTAATTTTTATTATTTAGTTAAATAATGTAAATTATTTACTCACTTTGTACCGTTTCTGTTCAATATCATAGATTTTGTTCATAGGAAGCAAGTCTGGAGAAATAAAGTTTCCCAACTTTGCCAAATAAACTCCGTTGCGTAAATTTTCTTCAAATTCTGTTGCTGGTGGTAGTTTCTCTCTTAAACATGCTTCCATCCAAGTTTTAGCTTCTTCTAATCGACACAGATATTCGTAAGCAATGGTCCTTTGTCTTATGGTGTCCATTTCTTGGCCCGTTTTACGAATATCTGAATCACCTGAAATTACGATACGAGTAAAATTTTAATAAGTTTTAGAATCTAGATAGGAAGAAAAGGTAATAAATAAACGAACGTTTTAATAGAATAAACTCACAGTCGTCAATTTTTCCAATACGTATTTCGTCAAAGTCCTTCCCCATGGTGGCAGATTTATCACAATAGCAAAATCTTTTGATATTTTCATTTAAAACACCACAGTTTTACTTATACTGTGTAGGTAATGCTTGTAAGTAAATAAAACAATAATAGATAATATTGTTTGAAAGTCAATCGCAAAGTACTATTTCAAAACAAAACGGTTGTACGGTCACGGTCGTGATTTGTGTTCGTTTCATTCAATTTTTCGCTCTATGGTTGTCTTTGATTTCGATCCTCTGTATTTTTTTTACATTCGTAATATTGAATATTCTCCTTTTGAGTCTTACTAACCACTCAACATTAGTTTTTGTTGCAACTTAGAGTAAAATTATAAACACAAGTTGTAACATACATTAGTTTCACCATCTGTATGCGTTTTGTGGACAGGAATGATAAGTAACTTATTTTCAAATTATCAAAGAGAGATTGATTCAGAGAGGGATATAAGTATAGGGGAAGATAGATTTCATTCAATAAGAAAAGTAATCAATACCGTCGTCCGTTGGCCACAACCAAAAATTATAATAAGTAGAAGAACCAAAACCACAACTTATGACAATGCTGATGATCAATACTGTGGGAATACTAACCCACGGTGCTGATTAAAAGTAATCTATTTAGAAAAATTAAGACTTGCCTTTAACCTGCTCTCAAGCACAAAGGCATCTTTTTTATCGACGTTACGACATTTTAAAAGCTGGTTATAAAAAGTGTGCCACGAAATATTCTTCGAGTACGTTATATTTTGTTACGGGTTTGATTCCCAAATCCCACACATGTGTATTTTTGTTAACGCACTTACGGCACAGGAGAAAATCTTAATATGCGAACAACCTAAAATAATTAGCTACCCTAAATGATAGGCAAGATAAATAATACTGAATATAATTTTATCATTTTAATAGAAAAATGTTACACTCAACATAAACTCCATGAACTACTTAAGGTTACATAATGGTTACGTAAAATGGTAAAGAATAATAATCATTAGAAATAAATCATGTTCGTTGACTGAATTTCGGATAAAACCTCTGCATTTCCAGCATTTAATAAACAAAATAATTCTAGTTCTTGAGTAGCTTGTAATTTTTTTATTGCCATATCCGTTGGTATCTTTTCTTGCAATGTTTTGTCTGGAAGAAAACATAGTGTAATATACGCTCTGCGGAATTGCCCAGCAGAAAGCCAACCTCGGTCACCAGGATCAAAACTTTTAATGATAGCCTTCAAGTGTCTGGAAATTAGATTAATAAAAATATACATCAAAACGTGTAGTTTGATTGTAAGCAATAAGTAATGCCACCCTTGGCGTATCCAACACAACGCAATACAGAAACGTTACCAATATGTTTCTGACTTTTCAAATGGTTGGTATTTCAATCTGGTATTGATATGTTTTTACAATACCTATTTTGAGACTTATTAAATTAACTAAAAATCGTGGGTTACTCAGACCTAACTAGTAGAGCTTTTCTCAGTATATTCACGTGAGTAACCCGCCATTTTTAGTTAATTTGGTATTGATATTATAGAATCATATTCAAGCGGAGATTTTAAGTGTGGGAGAGCCATGCTTCGGCACGAATAGACCGGGGCGACTGGAGTAACACCACGACCTCACAGGAAACCGACGGGAAACAGCGCTTGCGTTGTGTTTCGTCGTGTGAGTAAGGTTACTGGAAGTTCAACTGGGGGATTCAGGGAGAGAGTAAATATAGTTCAATCCCAAGTAAAACGGATGCGAATGCATTAAAGTCCTAGCCAACTATGCTAGATGAGTCTTACCTATCTTCATACAGTACTGGAGGTTTTCCATACCCCGAACGGAACAACATGCATTGCTCTAGAAGATTTACTACATAGTTCGCCGGGTCAGATGGATTAGCAGCAATTATTTTAGCTAAAATAAATCTTATAAGTTCAGGAATACGACGTTCTCGTAAGTACTCTTCTGTGCGTAAAGTTGATGAAAACATCCGTTGCTTGTACTCCGGAATGTGCACTTCTTGAGACGGTTCTTCACTTAAAATACATTTACACACTGGTAATTGCGAAGAAGAATTAACAGTAACACTATCCGACATTGTAATAATGTGAGGACAATCAGGATGATGGTGTTCAGTACGATTTTCGTCCATTGTAGTTTGTCTACAATAGTGTTATCTCAGTCAAAAGTTAATAGATATCAAGTAACAAAATACCAATTTTTATCGTAATATTCTAGCTTTTTATCCAATTCTTATATTCGTTCACTTTTACATTAAGCTTACTCTTTGCAGCTTATTGTAATGAACAAAGAGTATAATAAGTATAGGGGTAGTAATGAAAAGGTATCGATACGACAGTGTCGAAAATGACATTCAGAATAGGTAATGTAATTTTAAATCATTGTCAGAAAATATGATAATCTCTAGACCTTGCAACCTCATTGCTTACCAGGGAATATCCCAGTATCCTGTGTACTGTAACTGTACACTATTTAAAATTAAGAGGGAAGGTGTGTAGCCTCGGAACAATAACTAAAGCAGTTATTGTTCCGAGTATGTAGCACTCATTAGTACCCACTTACTCTTTTATTTGCCTAAACTCTTTGACAAAGACACTGACCTCTATATAGAGGTCAGTGGACAAAGACCAAAGAACTGTAGCGAAATAGACTTTTCTGATACACAGATACACCTAATACTTATTTGAATCTTTGAATAGACATTTCTTTTCACTTTTTATACTCTTTCCCCAAACTTTTCCCTATATTTATTAATATACTCTTTGGTATATTTATTAATACGTACAGCTTTGCTTTTCACCAAAGAGTATAATAAGTATAGGGGTACTTTTCACTTCAATGACATTACAAGTGACATTTTATATTTTTTAGCTGATCGCGGTTTCATCCAAGCTGGGAATTTAATTGTACTGCAATCCTATTATACTTTTTGACCACAATGGAAGATAAAAATATATCGAACGAAATTATACTGAACTATGAGCTACTAAAGTTAACATCTGTACCATCCCCAGCGACACCAAAGTCTTCGGCCTCGCATCTTTCGCCTAATCCCACCGAGCCTGTATCACTTTGCAAGTGTCTGTTATCTCCTGAGCCGTCTAAAGAAGAAATTATTTCACAACGCAAGAAAATGATGTTTTCTGCGGTATTTCGAACAGAAAGCTATTTGCGTGAACGACGTATTCCTGAACTTATAAGATTCCTTTTAACTAAAATTTTAGCAAGAGAGAGAGATCCTGATTCGAATGTATCTACCTATTTGTCGAATCTTTTAGATGACTGCATGATATTTCGTGCCGGTCTCGGAGTCGCTCCGGTATTGTTTGAAGACAGGTGAGAAACAAAGACAGAACAATAAATAAAATTATCCATCGATTATTATTTCTAGTTACCAGATTTGGCCGTATTGGAGGTAAGTTTAGCATTGTATACTTTCTCATTTTAGTCTCCATCTTTTTCAGGCATTTGAAAGCCATTATCAATAGTTTCGATCCATCTCAACGAGGATGGCTTACCGTTGGACAAGTACGCAGAGCTTTTATGACGTTAGGCCTTACTCCAGATGATAATTTACTTGATAGAACTCCAACTGATATAGTATTCCAAAGCTTAAAGGAAAAACAAGAGCTGGAATTATTCAACTTATTGGCTGCTGGAATGAAACCCTTGTGTGATAATGAAAGTGAACCCTAAAAGCTGAACCAACACTAAGAAGTTATATAGTATTGTACTTAGTTTCATAAGACATTTTATTTTAATACTCCTGTAGCTTATTTTAGATATATTTCAATTTAATTTTAGTTCTGTACCTATAATACCTACATTGTAATTGTTTCCAAAGTTCACAGGTGCAATGAAGATACATGAAATGTGGGTATTTTAAGACTGAAACAGCACATGCTTCATCGATTTGTAATAAAAAATAAGTAAGTGCTTAGTTTCAATTTAGTTTTTAATTGGTATAATTTTTTAAGGTAAATATAATTATTTTAATATTGTACTTATTTTAGAAATAAACGATTATCTATTTCATCTGCTCTTTGAATTAAAAACAGTAAACATATTGAAAGAATACAAACGGAACCTCTTCTGGATGTTGACTGAAACTCCATAAAAGTTATTCCCGGGAATTTCCGTTTCTAGTCCAGTGGACACGTCTGATTAAGGTTCCATCAAAGAGTATAATAAGTATAGGGGTTGGTTTCATTACGAAGAATGAAAACGTAAACTGATGCAATGTCTACTTCCGGACCATTAAATATATTCGCCTAAATTTTAAATTTCTTCTAACATCATCGTCCATGTACATCCTTGTTGTAATGACATTGACAAGTTCTTGTTGTCAACTGTCAAGCATAGAGTCAAGTTGTCATTGTCATTATACAATGCAATGTTTACGTTTTTATTGGCTAATTTCAAAAAGTTTATGAAACTTTAATGTATTTTACGTAGGTAGTTTAGCCCGAATTAGTTGAATAAAATAACGATGTTTGTTCTAGGAATTTTTTTACACATTACTTTCTTGTTTTCTATCTTTGACATATATTTTAAATCACCAATTGTTAAAAATGTGCCTCCTTATCAGCCCCAACATGGAGACTTATCTGAAAGACTAATTCTATTCATGGTTGATGGACTAAGAGCTGAATCATTTGTTAACTACACTACAATGCCTTATTTGAGGTAGGTAATAAATCTTCAAGTATTGCACACAAGTAAAAAATTGGTAACTAAATATAATTGGTAAGTGATAGTAAATGAATTTTAAGGTTCATACATCTATCATATTTTCAGGTCTATTGCAAGTACTCATGGTAGATGGGGAATCTCAAACACTCAAGTCCCAACAGAGTCACGCCCGGGACATGTGGCAGTTATTGCAGGTTTCTATGAAGACCCATCTGCTGTAGCCAAGGGATGGAAGGAAAATCCTGTAGATTTTGATTCAGTTTTCAATCAAACTTCATACACATGGTGTTGGGGTACTTATGACATAGTGAATATTTTCACCAAATCCAATATTGATGATCATATTGTGGTACACGAATTTGATCCTTATGACCAGAGTTTTAGCACTGATAAAAATACTACACTTCTGGATGCTTGGGTTTTTGACAATGTAAAATTGTTTTTCCAAAAGGCAAATGATGATGTCATACTGAAAGAAAAATTGAAAAGTAACAAAATAGTATTTTTCCTGCATTTGTTGGGCACTGATACTGCAGGACACACCCATAAACCTAAAACTCCGTAAGTTGATATTAGAAATAGGTTTAAAAAAAATATACAAAGATTGCTTTGCCTACCAATAAGTCATCTTGTGTTTGTTGCTTATTAATTTAAACTGTCAAACACCAAGCGGTCACCGGTGACCGCAACCTATTGCTCTTTAATTGTGTCTATAAATACGGTACTCGACGAGTTAATATGAGTGTGTAACAATTGATAAACATATATCATTACAGGAACTTCTTGACAACATTGAAACATGTTGATGAGGGAATACAAGAAATTGAAAAGGTGATCAGGGATTATTATAATGATGATGGAAAAACTACCTTTTTGATGACATCAGATCATGGCATGACAGACTGGGGTAACACATGTCTTGGTTTATTTTTGTGTGACAATAGACATAACTTCTTAATCCCTGATTATGAAAAATAACCAACATTTTGTTCATACAAAAGTAGTGTCTAAACATCTAAAACAAGGTCTATAATTGAGTAAGTGGAGAGTGGTCACTTGGGGACTGGGCAGAACATGAACCTTAATTAAAGTGAAATGAGATTACTCTCTATACACTGTGTTTACCCTTTATTACAAGCTACATCCGTACGGTATTACCAGCTCTGCCCGGCTCCTATTGATCATAGAGAGATGTTTTATATCCCATAGCCTTTCTCAATAAATTGACTATTCAACACAAACAGAATTATTTCATTTGGCCTAGTAGTTCTGGAGATTAGTATGTCTAAACATACTCTTGGGCTTTATATCAAGAACTCATTTTTTTTAAGGTTCTCATGGTGCTGGAGATGATCATGAAACAAAAACACCTTATGTGATATGGGGTGCAGGTATAAAGCAAGCAGAAATGAGACAACTTGATCCTGAAACAGATGGATTGTCTTTCGACCACAGATTGGATATCAATCAAGTGGATTTGTCTCCTCTAATGTCCACTATTCTTTCTATTCCTGTACCTGTTAATTCTAGAGTAAGTTATTCAAAAATGAACTTTATCTGTTTGGCTTAACTTGTAATTTAGTTTAAAATAGACAATGTGCAGATTAACAATACTTTATGTAAATACTGTAATGTCACTTCATAATACTTGCTGGTAGATATGACTATTAATGGCTGGGTATACAAGTTTAGTATGTAGTCAATAGGTGCACTAACAACTACCTATATTCAATAAAGTTGTTATGACTATTCTCACTATATTTTGGACCTACTTAACAAATGTGATGTCATGCTGCAATTGTTTTATAGACATGTGAATAATTAATTGTTATGTATTCCAGGGGAGACTAACAACAGAACTGTTTGATATGGCCTTACCTAACAAAGCTAAAGCTATATACAGTAACAGTAGACAATTAGCTTCACAGTACAATAAGAAAAGGCTTGATGTGGAGGAACATGCTATATCATACCTATACCAACCTTATGAACCATTCAGCAAAGAAAAATATGAAGAAGTTATACAATTCACTGAGAAACTACTTTCTGAAGAAGAATATGAGAAATTGATACTAATGAGTGAAGAGATTATAGATCTAAGCCTGTCTGGATTAAAGTACTATCATAATTATTACCAGCAGCCTCTTCTAGTATTAGTCACTTTATCATTTTTAGGATGGATAGCATGTCTACTGAAATTGTTATCTGAACAAAAGTTTAATACTCAAACAGCAACGGCTAACAACAGAGCATCTTCAAGAATGTTCAGAATACTGAATATATTATTTTTCTCTTTGTGCTGTTTATCTATCTTCTTAGTATATGGTAAGGTTTCCTCATGGCTAATCTTTTTGCTTACATTCTGAGTATTTTTTCGTAAATATGTATGTATATTGATTTCAGCACAAAATTTGCCAGTCCAGTATTATTTATATTCCATAATGCCTCTTGGTTTATGGTGGTATGCATTGTCATCTACATCTCTATGGCTAATGGGGCTGAGCCAAATGAGAAGAAACAGGAATATTCTTCTATTGTTATTTGAGATTGCAAGTTATACATTAGGTTCTATTGTATTGGTAAGCATAATTTACTTTTTGATGAATGGTCAACATTTTTTTCCTCTTCTACTTGAGAACTTATTTTCAGGGACTGTCATTTACATATAGGTGGGTGTTGAGCTTACCACTCTTAGGTATGGGTATATGGCCATTCTTTTCTTCAACAAGAAACCATTTAACTACGCCAATACTCATAGCTTGGCCTGTCGGGTGCTTATTACTTAGTGCATTTTCCTTCATGCCTGTTGTTGGAAAAAATGTTTTTATTGAACTAGTGTGAGTATTTTTGTAGTTATATTAATTTTAAATACAAATTTCTGTACAAGAAACTGATATAATGTTTTCTTTTCAGCATATCTGCTGGTGTTATATGGTTGTTTTCTATTATGATATACATTAATAAAATTCTGTTACCACTATGTTATAGAAAATATGAGAATAAGACAGAAATAGTATTATCTGTAATACAAGCAGTATTACTTGTTGTATCTCTGCATAATATTTATGTGCAATCTATGAGATTTGAACAAGGCACGCCAGTGTCTTACTTTGACCAAACTGTAGCTTGGTTTATAGCAGGTAAATCTTATACTATTATATAAAACTGAAGGGTTGATTGGTTTATTTAAATGCGCTACTCGAGACCGCCTCTATGGCCGAGTGGTCGGCAAAGGGTTCGATACCCGGGTCGAGCAAAGTATTACTGGGTTTTTAAAAATATCAATGTAGCACGGAGTCTGGAAATGTGCCCGGTATATGGCAATAGGCTCACCCCCTATTACATGGGGCTCATAATATAAATAGTGAAAAGTGGGTGTTACATTGTACAGTGGTATTAAGTGCACCTATGCCTACCCCTTCAGGGATAAAAGGCGTGATGTTATGTTATATTCCATAAAACATCACGCTACGACCAACAGGAGCCAAGCTGAGCGTGCGAAACCTCGAGAGAGTAGCTAGTATTCATATAAATTGCATGTGCTCTTTTCTTATACATGAGAATTTATACTGTGTATTTACAGCAATAAATTATTTTATTACAGGTACATCATTAGTGCTACCACTACTATTTTCAAGAAGACTGATTTGCCGTATTTTGGCTATAAACACATCAATTTTAAACTTCTACCTTTTATTGTCTGTTTCCCATGAAGGCCTATTTATGGTTACGTTGATTGTCAATTTAATGTGTTGGATTTACATCGAAAGTAAACTGCTACACATAAAGAATTCAAAGGTACTTTCTAGAAATATTCTTAACTGACTTCATACAACATTGCACTGGAAACATATTGGTATTTACTTTAATTTAAACTTTCAAATGTTTTACAGCTAATTGAAAGTAGTTTTGAAAATGAGAACAACGAAAAAATCAAGACTATCACTACAATTGAAAGAGAAATTAGCAGTCAAGATTTTAGAAGAGCTTTCTTTTTCGTATCCTTTTAAAAACAGAATGGCTTTTTGGATGGCTGTTTGTTACCCAATTACTACAGAATTCAGTTAGAATGGATGTGGGTAAAACTGGTAAAGTAGTTTAGTCTGGACTCCACCTTTTTTTACTTAAATCTGGAATAAAAAGCTACTTTTGTCCTGGTAATGCAAATGAACCCTCTGGCTAATTAATGAACGATGTGAACTTTTTTATTTAAAATAAAATCTTTAACATTTTGTATATCAGATTTTGTACATAATACTAGCCTTTTTTGGGACTGGTAACATTGCATCACTGAACTCATTTGAAGTGAGATGGGTGACATGCTTCATTACATCATTCCAGCCTTTCGTTATTACTACACTAATATTATTGAAGACCTTAGCACCATTCTTGAGTGTAGCTTGTAGTTTTAGAGCTGTACAACATTTAACTAAGGTAATAGTTATTTTAATTTGTACTGAAGGTAGACGATTGTCTCGGTCATAAGCGCAACAACCAAGCAAGGGGTTTCTAATTTGATTCCCAGGTTTTTTGAGATTTTTTTAGGAATAGCACTAATACAACAATGTATAGCAATATTATTATGGTCACTCCTTGCTTTAGTATTGCTTGAGACAATTATGCACTTATGTAAAAGTTATGTATAAGTTCCACATAGGTAAGTGCATCTCAGCTTGTACTTCGAACTCAAATGCGTTATGATGTATTCTTGTTATTATTTTATGTACTCACTAGCTTTTACCCGCGGCTTCGCTCGCGTCACAAAAAGATAAAACGTAGCCTATGTGACTACCCATCCCTTCAACTACCTTCAGTTGAAAAATCACGTTAAGTACCTCCGTTTTGCCGTTTAAGACAGGCAAACAAACAAACAGCTGTTCGCTTGCGTGGAATTCGGTTATAACGCGCGTTTTAGATTTTTCCGTGGGAATGAGAAGTTCTGCCGCGGTAAAGCCTTGCTTTTCCAGGACTCAAACTACCTTTATACCAAAATCGATTCAGCCGCGTGAAAGAACAGAAGAAGTTATTTTCGCATTACCACAAATACCTCCTCCCATTTTAATTTAGAAGACTTCTATTTCCTATAAGGGTTATATTTGCAATGCTAAACCAAAACTGAGTGGTAAACTATATTATAAGTTTTATTATCGAAAACCTAACTACTTTAGACATCTACTTAGAAATAAACCACTTCACTAATCTAACCTAACTAATATAGCTACAGTATCAATCAACGTAAACAATGAACAAAGCGTCTTAGAACGACGAAAAAAATTTACTATAGTACTTTAAATTAAATATCTACCTAGAAAAAATAAGACTTGACTAATCAAACCTACAAATCGAACAAATAATAATCAATTTAAACGCTAGATGCGTACCCTAAAATATAGTTGATACGGAAGGCCGGAACCTATACTTTCGCCGGTAACGAAACCATAGCGCCATCTAACTCGATCCTAACGCCATCTATCGAGCGTTGAAACAACAGCGTACAATATATTTGCTAATTGTTGAGTATTGTTGCCACTATGGTTTCGTGTACCTTTAACAATCTAAAATCTATAAAATACGCAACTTAATGTAAAATGGTTGGAACCAAAATTTAAAAGCGAAGAATACTTAAAAAACACAACGCTATTCCGTTTTATAAACACTCAGCGCCATCTATCGCCAAGTAGCGTAACTACCACATAGACACCAATTTCGTGTACCTTTAACAACCTAAAATCTATAAAATACCCAATTCAATGTAAAATGGTAGGAATCAAAATTTAAAACCGATAAAAATACTAAAAAAACAACGTTACTCTGTTTAATATATAATAATAAACACTCAGCGCCATCTATCGCCAAGTAGCGTAACTACTACATAGTCACCAATTTTGTGTACCTTTAACAACCTAAAATCTATAAAATACGCAATTTAATGTAAAATGGTTAGAACCAAAATTTAAAAGCGAAAAATACTTAAAAAATAGCGTAACTACTACATAGACACCAATTTCATGTACCTTTAACAACCTAAAATCTATAAAATACACAATTCAATGTAAAATGGTAGGAACCAAAATTTAAAAGCGATAAAAGTACTTTAAAATCACAACGCTACCCCGTTTTATAAACACTCAGCGCCATCTATCGCCAAGTAGCGTAACTACTACACAACGTTACCACGTTGTGTTTTTTAAGTATTTTTACATAAAAATAGCAATTAATGAGTCGAAAAGCGCACTGAATAAGTGTAGATTAACACCAAATAAGCGCTATAGATTAAAGCGTGAAATTTCCAATTAGTAGGTAATTCGTTGAATTGTTTTAGACGGCACAAAGCGCCATCTACAGGAATACACATAGCGCCATCTATACTAATATTTTTGTTTTCCCTCGGGAATATCACATTTTTCCGGGATAAAAAGTACCCTATTATTTAATCTGGACTTCTAACTTTACGTCTGCAAAATTTCAAAGCAATCGGTTTAGTAGTTACGGCGTGAAGGTGGAACAAACAAACAAACAAACAAACTCACTTTCAGATTTATAATATTAGTAAGGATTAATGTCTTTTTTAATTTCAGGCACCAACTGGATATTTAATAATAATTGTATTGATATATTCCAATTTGATGGGTATACAACTGCTGTACAATGTGAAAAACACTGGAAGCTGGCTAGAAATTGGTACTTCCATATCACAGTTTGTTATTGTTCAAGTTATCACACTATTTATTGTTTTAATTAATCAAATTGCTAAATTGTTAACTGATATCAGTATTTATAGTTTTACGAATAAGTTATTTAAAAGTCGAAAGAAATATGTTTGAATTAAAAGTTGCTTTTGTGGAACTGTTTTATTAAAATTTTATATCATTTTGTGTTTACTGTACATGATTTACATGTATAACTCAAAATCTATTCTGTTGGATGTGTAGAATTGACTGTCTTCCCCTTGTTTTCTTACCCAAACACCAGTTTTGAAGTACCCCTCTGATGACCATTTTTGCATTTGCTCAGTAGTGTGAGGCCCGGATATTTCATCATCATTCTGATTCCACTTAAACTCCCATTTCAATTCTGGCTCTTGTTCCTCCTCAGCTTTATCTTCAGTTTCTTTAGTATCAGTGCTATTTTTATCCAACACACTCTTCTCCTTCTGATCAAAATCATCAGCATACATATCTAAATCGGCATCATCATTTTTACTCTCCTGTCTCTTTATGATTGTATCAATTTTCTCATAAGTTTCCTGGTAAATGTCCATGTTACCCAATTTTGTGAGAATTTGATTGGCAAGTTCTGTAATTCTTGTAACAATTTCACTGTTTTCATCAACAATACCAGCTTTTTTCCTTTTCCAACGCTCAGCACTAGAAATTTTTGAACTTGCACCTGCAACAGACGAACAAAAAATGACAAATGTGTTTTAGGCCACTGATAAGACCATAATAGAGTTAGTTGTCAAATAAAGTAAAGATTAACTTAAATAACCATGAATTCAAGTTTTGTTATGTGACTTACCAAGACGCTGGAGGGTTTTTGCAATTGTTTCTTTGGGTTTCATATGTTTAAAGATTTCTTTGTAGTTTTGCAGTAAATCAAACTTTTCTTCTGGTTCTTCATCTTCACTACTAGACTCATCACCAAGTCCTTTATTTTCATCATCTTTGTGAACTTTGTACTTATCTTCTGGCCTACCCTTGACTTTAACCCAGTCTATATTGTCAAGCCAACCATCTCTGATCTCTTTCTCTTTTTTCCAGTGATAGTGACCCTGGTTATCAAAGTGACCTTCTTCAAGCTCCTCTTTCATGTTGAACGGAGTGATTGTAATCTACAAAATAATTGGATAAAATTATGAAAATGTAAAAATCAATAAATAATGGTTTCTAGACAAAAAAATTACATTACATAGATAAATATTATTAGTCCTCATGTTACCATATCATTCAAACACCTATTCCACAGTTTATTATTTGAGGTTTAGTTTACTATTTGAGGTTATCATTTTTAAATGCTACCTACATACGTCTAGCCTATTTCAGGTTATTGGACTGAACTCAAACCTTATCATTATTGTGTGTATTAAGATTTAACGTCAAACTATTCATATAGGTACTCACTTCACCTTCCATCCCACCAGTTCCGTCTTCTTCACCTTCAATGTCATCTGCATGAAGAACATTGTTTCTTTCCTCTTCGGCACCGCTGTCTTCTTCGTCCGAATCTAATGAGTGCTTTTTTCCTTCAGTTTTCTTCATAACTTCTTGAGCTTCCATTTCAAAAGCCTCCGCAGCTGAACGTTTTGCCATTTTTTTAACTGACTTCCAAGCCCAATTACAAGTATATATCTATTATAACCTATTACTATAAGCGACATACAAATTAATAAAGATGAAATATTTAATGTTATATTACAAATATTCACTAAAATTACGCAAAATCGACAAAATCTAAGATGCTTATTGCTTGACAAATTGACAAGTTTGACAATTGACAACAACAAACAAGTTGCTTTGCTTTTTAGCTTTTTTTTTAATTTCACTTAGATACTGGTCTTTCTTTACTGTAATCAATCGTGAGATTTTTTCGTTCCTTATGTTATTTAAAAATATCGAGAATTGTTTATTTAAATATTAATTTTGTAACCAAATGATGTTTCACAAAAAATCCGGTTCCAAAACAATCACATCAAGTCATTTGGAGTTCCATTTTCTCTGCCTACCCTAATATCTTATAAACTCTGAATGGAATAACTTTTTTATTTTGTATAATTCATTAATCGAGGGAGGCTATGTGCTACAAAACATCATGTTACCATTAATAGGAGCTGAGCTATCCAAGTAAATAAACAAATAGCCTCCCGTTTCAATAGGCTGCGTGGGATGTGACAATCTACTCTCCAAATGGACTAAGAGCCAGCGGCCCGCAGACCTTCGGTAAAGTATAAAACCTGTAAGTTTCTCAAAGTATGTCCCCAACACAGGTAAGAACGAATCCCGTCTATGTAACTTGGGTCGCGGTGGCTTTCGCAGGTATCAGGTAATAAAGGTGTGTAAAATTGTGTATTAAATTTGGTAAAATATAAAACTCAGTTTTTACATATTTGACTTATAATAATCCCAAAAGTCATCTTGCCGAAAGCCAGACACTTCGTACAGTTCCAACCCTCTGCCAGACACCCTTAAAGTATATTTAATTGTTACTATACTTACGGTATAGTATAAAATCTGCAATTTATATATGTTATTTGGATAACTATAAAATAATGTTTCTTCAATAGCCAGACAGTTTCTGTGGTTCCTTTATGTTGCCAGGCACATAAAAAGTCTAATGTAGGTGCGAGCGTGAGGGATATATTAGTCAGCGGGTGCGAGTGAAATAGCGCGTTCGGTCCCTTGCGACGTTTTACTGCGCATCAACTGTCATTTATTGTGGTTTATGTGGTGAATAGTCATACGTACAAGAAACGTTTTATTATTGTTTTGTTCAATTTATAAAATAATAATAAGGGAATATCAGTGATGATATATTATTGATGTTGATACAGCAAGATTCCAAATGTTTATAGATTCTTATACAGTCTCTGATGTCAACGAGGCATTTAATCGAAAAAAAACGAAATTTCGATGCCAGCAGTTTGCCACCTTGTAAAAGTGAGCTATCTCAGCAATTTTTGCGAGCAAATTATATTTGTACCATTTGGAATAATGCTCACCTGAAGAAACCAACAACATACAAACCAGAAAATAATGGTTGGATCCTGCAAAATGATCAATATCATTTTAAATGGTTTGAAGGTGATCAGCTACCAAACTACGCCAGTGATTCTCTAACAACTGTATCAGGTATGTAATTATGATGTTACAATATTATCGAGGAAATTTTGATTATTTATGATTATATTAACATGGATTAATTATTACAGAAACTGGCGAAGAAGAAGACGATATTGATAACGACCAACCCATAGATTGGAGCAGTGATGATGAAGACACTCAAGATATCGACGACTACGATGACAATAATTAAATATACTCTTTTTTTATTAATAAAAATCTTTGAAATGTTTTTGAATTAATTATGATTCCTAAACACGAAAATTTTATAAAAGAATTTTCTAAACATTTATTCGTTGATTCTATGTTATTATACCCTTACTAATGTATTTTATTAATGAATTTTCATAGTAAATCTAGAAAATAGTTCTCATTATACACAATAAATGACAGTTGATGCGCAGTAAAACGTCGCAAGGGACCGAACGCGCTATTTCACTTGCACCCGCTGACTAATATATCCCTCACGCTCGCACCTACATTAGACTTTTTATGTGCCTGGCAACATAAAGGAACCACAGAAACTGTCTGGCTATTAAAGAAACATTATTTTATAGTTATCCAAATAACATATATAAATTGCAGATTTTATACTATACCGTAAGTATAGTAACAATTAAATATACTTTAAGGGTGTCTGGCAGAGGGTTGGAACCGTACGAAGTGTCTGGCTTTCGGCAAGATGACTTTTGGGATTATTATAAGTCAAATATGTAAAAACTGAGTTTTATATTTTACCAAATTTAATACACAATTTTACACACCTTTATTACCTGATACCTGCGAAAGCCACCGCGACCCAAGTTACATAGACGGGATTCGTTCTTACCTGTGTTGGGGACATACTTTGAGAAACTTACAGGTTTTATACTTTACCGAAGGTCTGCGGGCCGCTGGCTCTTGCTCTAAAAGGAAAATACAATTTTTCAGTATTTCCACAACTTTTATTGATCGGGAATCGAACCCGAGACCCACTACTTTATGGTCACTTTTACAACCACTCGATCAATGAGTAATGACTTCATAATCAAGAAGGTACTTATACTTACATGTATTTAATCAACCCAAATCATGTTTGTAGATATTAGTGAAATAAAACCACAATGTTATTTAATATATTATACTACTGTATATTATGAATACATAAAGGCAGTATCATCATGAATTTTTAAAAATGCTGTATAAACTATAGAGTATAAAAGCTGTGTAATTTAATTCTTTTTCCATATTAAAGTTTTGTTGTTAGCAGGCATTTCGATGGTGTCCATTAAAGTTAGATTGTTTTGTTCTGCTAGTTTGACTAGATCTGTGATATCTCTTAGACCCCAAGCAGGATTTCGTGCTTTGAGTGATGCATCAAATTGAACATTGCTCTCGGGTGTAATTACACCATCTTTGCTATAAGGTCCATAAGTAATCATCAGTGCATCTGGTTTCAGGAAGCTTCCAGCATTTTCAAATAAGCCAATTGTGCATGCATATGGACTAATATGAATCATGTTAGCACTGTACATGTAGTCAACACTATTTTCTTCAAAACCATAACTGGATAATTTTTTACAGATGTCAATTTGTTTAGGAAGAAGAATGTTTTTTGTTTTACAGTTCTCAGCATAATAAGTTATACTGCCTAGTAAACTGTCATCCACTTCTGATGGTTGAAACTTGACTCCGGGGAAGTGAGGAGCAAAATGAGCCACATGCTGCCCAGAACCAGATGCTATCTCCAAGAACAATGGGCTTTCTTCATCTTCAATAGAATCAACATCGCAGATTAGAAACCTCTTCAAGACTTGCAAAATTGGTTCTTGGTTTCTGGTTGCGGCTGGATATATTAATTTTTCATTTTTAATGCTGAAATGTGATATTAACAAAATTTATAGAAGTAGTAATAACATTTAATAAATAAAATATTAAAATTATTAATAAATTATAGTCATTAATACCACTTAGAGGCCCAATTAACCACAATAGCTGAAAAAAAAATACTAAAAAAGAAATTATTGGTAAAGTCTACATACTACATACCTTTCTTGCCCAGAAAAGTTAAATGCGACATCCTTAGCCATTGATATTGGCTTTAGGCGAGATCGCACACTACCAAAAATTCTTAAGAAATGAATATTGGTAAACTGCTTTAAACAGGTGTTTAATTAAGTAGGTATCAAGTTTCAAGTGATTACAACTGAAGTTTCTAAATTAGTCAAGTATTGAAATTTTTCGTTATAAAAGAAATATTTTATGGTTTTTAATACATCAGTCTTAATTATAGTAATATGAAACAAGATTGTTCTTATATTATAATTATAGTAAAACCCGTTCTATAGCTGTTATCTTATCAGCTGGCCGCTTATATCGTTCCGGTCAATAGCGTAGCGATAATTTGATTGAGATTTGAGATTTTGAAGTTGACATGAGTCATGACATGACGTTTGAAAAGAAATAGAATCGACCATGGATTAGACATTTTCGACGGGTAGTGTTGGACTCGAACTAAACGAATCGAATTGAATTTAACAAACAAATCACCTGGTTTGTAACAGTTATGAAAGACTGATATGATTATTTCATGATAAAGTTCAAAGTTCTTGAGAAACGAAATAATCTTTTTCTGTTTATCATTTTTGACGCAACCTTCACAGGTAAATGCTGAGTGTAGAGAATCGTAGAATTGAATATATCTGTCATCTGTCAACATATTTTTGTGTCACTTTATTTGTCAAACGAGGCCAAAACATGAAATGAAAACAAGACAAAAAACAAACAAATAATATTTTTGTTGTTTCGCCTACATATAAATTGTGTTTTATGTATTGGCTTCAATAAGTTGGAATTTACAATCAATAAGAATGAATAATTTCCAGAAAGAATTTATCATGGACATGTTTTTGGACAGTGATCATGCATGTACTATGAACAGACTAATTGTGGCAACAGCTAATGTTATCAGTGAAAACAATGATAATTTGAATATGTTCAGTACTGCTGTTGAAAAGGAATTTGATCTGACATCATTAGCTGACGAAAATCAAAGTCCCGGTGTTGTACCTGTTACGAGACGTCTGAAAGGCTTTTATGAAAACTCTGTTCGCAATTTTACGGATGCAGATTATTCAGCTTGGTTTAAGATTAAGAAAAGTACTGTTCAGGTAATTATTTATTTTATTATACTGCATAATTAAGAATTATGTTTTCACCTACGGATTTCTTCCTATTATCAAATAGGTAGTTTACTGCAAGCAGCAAAAGCAAGTTTTGACAGAAACAATAAATTTAAATTGTTAATAAATATTAGAATTACACTTCCATTGAACAGTGCTCCATTCACCTAAAGGTTGCCTGGTAGAGATCGCTATTAGTGATAAGGCCGCCTTTGTACCCTACTATTTTTTACTATAACGTTAATGTATATTCCATTTATTTAAGGTGTACATTAAAGGTTATTATTTATTATCATCATCAATAGCCGGAAGATGTCTTCTGTTGGACAAGGGCCAGGACATTATCTCACTGACCCTATAAGAACACAGCATTTTTGGTTTCTAGGTAACATTTACTAAATATTTGTCTATTTTAATTTCAGGCACTCATAAACTTCTTGAAGAAATATGTGAATCCTGGCAACATCTCTTTAGAAAAAAAAGTTCATGTGTTTCTTTGGTTGATGGTGAGTGATTGTTCTTACAATGAAATTGGTAAATTGTTTGGTCTGCATAAATCATCTGTGAGCTACATATTCAATGAGATAGCCACTATACTTACTGAACATAGATACAGTTTCATTAGTTGGCCGTCTGTTGAGGAACAACACATAACTAGAATAAAGGTTAATAGTAGGTTTAAGTTTCCCAACTGTGTAGGCTTCATAGATGCCTGCCGATTTAAAGTTGGATCGAAAAGAAATAAAAAAGACAAGCCAGAAATAATTCTCTTACAAGCTGTCTGTGATGAATCGTTAATGTTCTTAGATATTCATATAGGAGAAGTAGGTAAAACTAGAAAAAATAGAGTTTTCAAAGAGAGCACTCTTTCACATGAGTTGAAGAATTTTGTTGAGTTTGAGAATCATATTTTAGGGGACTCTGAGTATAAATTGAAGAAAAATCTAATCACTCCATTTACGAGTGAGGAGTTATTGACAAGTGAGGACATGAAGTTTAATGAGATTCATTGGAAAACGCGTAGTTATATTGGTCACGCTTTTGAATTGATGAAGGAGAGGTTTAGGAAGTTGAATCATATTGACATTGTGAAGGTGGAATCAGTTCACCTACTTATATCTGTAGCATGTATACTTCATAATTTTATACTGATACATGAGGGCTCTTCAGAAGTAAAGGAGGAAGCAGTGGCTTGTGATGATGGAGTCTCCATCAACACAAGTATTGTACAAACTGCTTTAGAAAAAAGACAATTCCTATGTAATTATATTAATTATATTGACACTGAAGAAGTAGGATAGTTTATTTATATGTTTGTATATTTTAAAGTTATATTTAATGTATTATTTAAGGGACTATTGATTATTGTGGAAAATCATCCATTTTGGAAATTCTTATTAATAACTTTTATTCAGCGATTACATTTGAAGTGCAATGATAAAAGTACATCTAATGAATTGAACCCTAGATATGACTGACATAAATATGTACCTGTACACTTATTATGTTTATTCAATTGTGAGTTTAGCACCTATTTAAGGTACCTACTGTAAATTTTTTATACTTACCATTTATATTGTGATTGGCTGTGAATTATTTTTCAATAAAACCAAGGTTATAATGTTTTAATACTTATATTTTCTCTTCTAGTACTGAAATTTATATAATTGCCAGCATTATGATATAAAAAATATAAATAAAACATATTTTTGAGTGAGTAGTGAGTTCTAATGACAGTATGTATGTTTGATGAAATTACATTACATTATGTATTTTTATATAACAACGTCAGTATTAATATAAATGATCCAAAATGTATTAATATTTAATTTATTACACACTAAATCATTTTACGAAAGGAAACATTTTGTGATACTCACTTTATTTATACGTACATAGATAAATCACTTATAATATTTATACCTCTACTGCTTATTTAATTTTTATGTACAGAAATAGATAGTTTATCTTATTTTTTGCTTAACATAAGAGACTTTGATTGTTTTACGGTGGGAATACTAGCTCATTTTTAGATTTCTGGTGGTTATTTCAGCCTAATAAGAATTTAAATCCACATCAATACTGAAGTCATGTTTATAAATATGTTAAAAGATGAAATTAAATTAAGTCTGTTGTATAAACACAGATTTGCATAGGAATACATATCAGCTAATCAAGCTTATTTGGTTTAACATTAGTATTTTGATATTGAGAACGAAATTTGCGTGTTTTGTAACATTTTTACAAATAAATAAATTTCTCTGTCCCGATGTATCCTACATAACATTAGGCACTAAATTGGCAACCTACAAGGCACTATGCACTTAGCACAGCAAATATGCTATAATAATAATTATATTATGATTTTATATATTGTAACAAAATTTATAACTCTATTATTTTACTATAGCTCGTAATACGTACTATACTGCGTTTTCTTTAAACATTTATACAAAGTAAGTAGTTTGTAAAACAACCGCCGTATTACAGTTGAACTATGCAAGTAAATAACAAGCTGGCGATATTATATAAACATAATGCGTGTTGTATTTCACATATTATTTTTACTGCAAATGAACGTGCCTAACGAAATTAAAATACATATTACTAAGTTCACTGATATCCTCTTTTTTATTCATATTTGAATATCGATGTCATTTAGCTAAATTCATGAGCTGACCATGTCAAGCCACAATATCGACAAGCCTGTTGGGCTTTACATACTAGTAACAATACAACACTATATATATACATTTAATTATATTTACAATTATATAGCTGCACCTTGATATTATTTCCTACATAATTAGGATTATGGAATGTGACAAAACTGTACCTAACTAACACTAAAGCCGAATATTTACAATCGGTGTATAATAAATGAGTCATATCAGTCTGATTTATTGTTGTCCTTTAACTTTTATGATATACGCAACGATTTTTTTCATATTATGATCAACATCATTTAATGATTTCATCTAGAAACAACAATTACACGGTCAGTGATAATAGATTTAAAAACATACAGTTCCTAAATGTTAACAGTCCTTCTGATACTTGTGTCATCTTTTAAATGCAATATTCACCATACTCGAGTAAATAACAACATTATCTAAGGAATAACCAGTAGACTGTACACAGGAAGGAGACGAGACACGTTATGTACACAAATCATAGTAAACACTGAGTCAATCACATTAAAACACTGTCTTAGCCGAACGATTTCGGAAGACTTGGCACACGCGACACGACACTGCGTCTCAGTCACTTCGCAATGGATCCGTAAACAGTTTGTTTAGGTAATTTTCAAATATAAGTCTTTTTCACCTTTTGTAAGGTGCCGCACTTTAGGTCCTTGTCTAAGGACTCGGTGGAGTTTCGTAGGTCAAGTGTGCGCTCTTTGCCGAGCTCCATGTGTAAGTTGTCCTGTTTCGGACACACGTTCGCTACCATATTCACGTTTTTCGATCGAGGCATATACGCAGTGTTGGCATTTAACGGTGTTTCTAACGGGCTCAATCTGAAACAGATGCATTCATTAGTTAAAGATTTATTTATGTTAATTAACATTTCTATTTATTTTCCTACTAAATAACATAAACCTATAAAAAGTCTCTTGTGTTATTGTATACAGTGATATGCTAATGTGTTTATATCATTAGCATGTTTCTCATTAGGTTTGTTTGTATGTTATGATACATGTGTAGTGCAAAAACGATTTGTGACTAAGCAAGTCGGATCTGTACAAGGTCAACGAAAAGAATAACTAGTGCAAGGGCTTTAATGTGACAAAACTTTCAGCGACCATTTGCGGATTACAACTATGACTCACTTCTGGAAATCATAAAAACTCGCCTGTAAAGGAAAACTGTAATGTCAGTCAGGCGAACGATACGAGCTAATTAAAC